GTTTATGTACGTACATGTCTGTGTGAGTTTCTTTTTCTATGTGCTAATTTAATGAAATGATGTATGTGGTTTAGTATTTGATGATTTTATTGAAACAAATTATTAGATGTTGGGTCCATTCTTTTGCTTGCTTACCGTTCATCAAAGTGTCATTGTGTGGGTGTTTGTTTGGATAGTGCTGAATCTGCCATGCTACTAAGAACTAAATGCTAACATTCCATTTTTCTCGTGAAATCGTTTGTTAGCAGCTACTTGCCAACAATAAATATTGACGACTTCTTCTCCTTCCTTCTCGTGTCTATTCTTTCAAGACATTGGCGACCATCGACCTCCACAAAACCCAATCGTTAACACTTTGTAGCAGTTAAAATGTGATGATATTCATTTAGTGACACAGGGACTTCACGACATTGTTGACCGCGATCTCTTCTCCCAGCAATCTTTCCAGTAGTTGTTAGATTATCCATTTCTTTCTTCCACATAATGTGACCAAATATTTTAAGTGCCTCCGTCGGGTTATTTGTAGTAAGTTAATTTTTTCATAACCGGACTGTTTTTGAGGATGGTTTTTATTTTAGAATATGCATCTTTCGCCATAGCTATCTTTGGTTTGATATCTACATCACATTTAAAACCTGAAATAATCAGACTTCAGAGATAATTGAAGCTGTTGACTTGTTTCACCTGTTCACAATTAACAATTATTGACCACGCATTCTGCTTTGTTGATGTTAATTTGCAAAATTTTTCTTTCACATTTACATTAGGTTTTTTAGACGATGCGATAAATATTGCAACCTGATGCAACCACCCACCTGATGCAACCACCCACCTGATGCAACCACCCACCTGATGCAACCACCCACCTGATGCAATATTCAGGAATTTCGCCGCTGTTATAAATCTCATTAAAAATTTTTGTTACTTTTTCATTGTCAAATTCACCGTGACATTTTATTTCTTCAACAACTATCTCATCTGGGCCTGGTGCTTAATTTGATTTCATTTTGGAAAGAGCGGCACGAACTTCAGATCTAAGTATCTTTGGTCCTTCTACGTCTTTTTTAATAGGAGGCTTTTCACCACGGGTATCATCAAAAAGATCGTTAATGTATTCAGTCCTACTTTCAAGTTCTTTTTCTTTCTCTAAGATTACTTTACCGGATTGACGACTATGATGACACAATAGATTTTTTAACCTTTTAAAAAAATTTTTAAAATTTATTAACTTTCAATTTTTGATCATTCATTCGTGTTGAAGCTTTTCTGAAGACAAGTAAATACATAAAGTAAGTCCTCCTGACAAGCAA